GTAATAAATTATTTTTTATTTTAAATAAAACACTTAAGATAATATGATTATGTGATAAATTATTTAATTATTTATGTAATTTTAATATTTTATATGAACAGGTACAATTTTACGATCCGTTTCAAATTTACAATTTATGATTTTTTTACTCCCTCTCGATCTTAAGTAAAATCTCGATCTTAACACCATTGGCCTTGAGATATCTTAGTCCGTTAGAGTAGGAAAAAAAATGTGAAGGGAGATAACAAATCAAATGTGTTATAATACAAGAAAACAAATCAAATGTACTGTAATCTAGTTATAACAAAATAAAAATTAGACAAAAATTGTTGTAAGTTTATTTTTTTGGCAGATAAGTTATTGTAAGTTTATGATACAAAAACAAAATAGCAAACGGGTAATAATTCAAGAAAGATGACGAACTCCCACTTCTTTACTTTCCCAAAGAAGGAGAAAGCTAAGATAATTATTAATTCCTTAAATTGTGGGCAAGGGAGATATAAGAAATACCCATTAAATGATCCTACTTTTCACGTTTAAAAAAAGAGTTTTATAATTCTCATTTAACATAAGAATTAAATTTTTCTTACACATCTTTCGATTTTCGTACTGACATGAGTCCTACATATAATTTTTTCTAACACATGGATCTCACATGTTTTTTATCTCTACAACATGAGATTTCAATTCTCATTCAACATGAGAATTATAAAACCCTTAAAAAAAAGGAAAAAAATTGTATAAAGAGTGAACAAGGAAAGAGGTTAAGTATTTAATTTATGGGTTTGATGTTTGTCATTTTAAATGACATAAGTTATATCATTTTAGAAGAGAGATAGACACAAAAAATGAAAATCATGAGGAGAAAGTGAGTGTTTTTTTTAATTTAAATTTCAAATAAAAAAATTATTTTGTGTCTATCTCTCTTTTAAAATGACAAATATTTTCCCTTTAATTTATAGTTGGGTTTCATTGCTGATATCCTTAATCCGACAAGTCGGAAGGTTTTTTATTTGATTTTTTATTAAGTATCTATTTCTCACCACCATAATTCTGAAACTTAACTTATATTCATGTGTGTATAATAAAAGGTTATATTTTGTTATGAATTGATCCATATCTCAATAACTTGTCTAACAAAAGATATTCAAATAATATCCTAGATAGTAGAGGATCAAAGAAATACATTCCCATTAGGATTTTATACTTACAGGAAACTCCTAAATTTATTTCCTATTGCTGCCAATATTGTGTGTACATTCTCACGCTTTGGCTATACGCCCATTATCAAGTGCATAGTAATTGATACATTGGTCTTGAGCTAATTAAATATCTTTCTCGTAAATATCTCTGAACGTATGCATATATAAAGACTATATATTTATGGTCTATGTGGACCTAACATATTTCATCTCCGCTCAACATTTTGCAATACACTGCTAACAATGAGGGGAAAATATTTACTATACACAGGTTATAAGTGTACCAATATGTTGGGGGACAGTGAACACCAAATCCAGCCCATGACATTACAAAATTCCTGTATCATACATAAACGGTACTTAGCCTACAACAATCATTATATTAATTCATATACAGTGGATGTTTCATTCGCCCGTCAGGTACCTTTCTGATGCTCATCTGTATCCTTTGAATTGGCAAAGGAAATAGTATACCCCTTCATCTTTCTTCTTTGAAGGCCCAAAATATGAGATTTATATCGGTTGTGCTCCTCAACAGTGGCAGATCCAGGAAATTAATGAAGGGTGAGCATTTAATAAGGTCTTGTCTAAAATACGACTTGCGAGCAGCTCCCGGCTGGCTGAATCTGGTTTAAATATAGATATGTACGGATTGCGACTTAATTGGACCGATGATGGAGGAAGAAGTAAATGTTCCAACTTTCAATAATGGAGATTGAGGTTTGAGAGAAGATGAATCAATATGTAGATGCAAACAATGGGTGTCGAATAGAGCTCTCTGCGGTTAGGTTTAGATAATGAAGATGGAGGAGAAAAAAAAACTCACGAAAAAATAAAATAGAATGAGAAAAATTAAAGCTCGTAACAACCAATTAGGGTTACTACCAATCAATTTCACCGTTATATCGATTATGTTGATCCAACGGTTATATTTATTTCTATCTTTGTATGGTTATGATCCCCATATTTAATGTAAAAGTATTAAATATGAAAAATCATAACCATACAAAGGTAGAAATAAATATAAAGTATTAAATATGGGGAATCATAACCATACAAAGATGAAAATAAATATAATCGTTGGATCAACATAATCAATCTAACGGTGAAATTGATTGGGATGAAAATAAATATAACCGTTGGATCAACATAATCAATCTAACGGTGAAATTGATTAGTAGTAACATTGATAGTAACCCTAATTAGTTGTTACAATATCCTACTCCGAAATTAAATTGGAAAAACTTGAATTTCAAGATAAGAGTATTTTTGTATTTTTGCATCATAATTTAAGGGTGGGCACTTGACCCTCTTCTCTTCAACCTACATCCGCCTCTGCTGGCATGTACTATTACTACTACGAGAAATTTGTTCCCCTCACCGATTTTCAACTTTTTTATGTCATCGATTGAATAAGTTACAGAGTTTTTTGTATTAAGCATAATTATATATTTCACGTTTACAAATCCTTTGATATTTGAAAAATGAACATTTATTAAGTGTAATTCAATTAATAACACATGCTGTGTAAAGTAGGGAGAAGAGAATTTAATTTTTACCAAATACATATTTGGAGATGAGCGATGAGTTTTAATTGTGTTAAAACTTTTGAAAATACTAGGGCCGATTCACTTTAAAGAAGTGGTAATTAAAGTCGATACATCAAAAAAGAAAAAAATGAACTAAAAAAATGAAAATGTAGATAAACAATGACAGTTTGATTTAATACAAATTTTATTCACATTTCAGTCCTTAATTAATGAGAAAAATATTTATCTTTTTAAAAGACATCATTTGTGTTATTTTATTTTCACAAAAAAGTAGGATCTACACTTTTATTTTTTTTGTCCATTCACTCTTTTCCCTGTCATTTATCTCTTTCTCTCACTTATAAGGACACAACTTTAGGGGTGTATTAGATTGAGATTTCAAAGGATTTTAATGGATTGTTTTTGGACAAAAAATTCCGTTGGTATTCGATTAGGATTTTAATGGATTGAAAAAAGTCATGTGGTATTCAATTGAGATTTTAAAGGATTATTTTGAAATCCGTTGGTATTCAATCAAGATTTTCAACAATGGAATCACAATCTCGTGGTATTCAAAAATCAGACCATTTTAATGGATTTTCTATAGGTGTGGATTTCGTAAGACTTTTTAGTGAAAAATATAAATAAGATGTCTCTCTTGCAATCTCACCCCAACCCCTAGTATTTCTTGAGATTCTTCTATTGCAGTGTTTTGTTCTTCCTTTGGCAGGTTGGCAGGTTGACTACTCGAAATTGGATTCCGTCAAGGGAGCTTCGTCAAAACTAAAAAAAAAAGAGCATATTTTTGAGCGGTTTTGATCACAAAATAACCCAGAAACAACAAATCAACGAGATTTTAATATAATCTATCTAAAAAATAACATATTTTTGAGCCATTTTTGAATTTTTTTGGAAGTTTAAAGAGTGATTTTTCAAGCTATGGGTCGCGGTTTTTCTTGACATAAAAAGTGTGATTTTTGTATTAAAAACAACATAAAACCGTAGAAAAATAACAGGGAAACTAAAACCCTCAAACAAATTTTCGTTTTACATCAATTAAACAATAACAATTTAAAGAAAGATTGAAACTTTCATAATATGAACCCTGTATTTCGTAACAATACATTCATGAACGAAATTCCTTCACTATAGGAAATGATTTCAAACAATTTTTATGTCAATAGATAACTAAAAGCTTGTTTCTCAAAAGCCCCAAAGCAATTTAAGGTTTCAATGTATCGATTGAAATTTTTTTGAGAAATTTTCTAAACTTTCATGTAATTAAACCCAAAATTTCAGATTCATATGGTTAGAAAATTTCAAAAACTCCAAGATTTTCTAGATCAATTGCAAAAATTTCAGAAGAAATTTTATCATGAACTTTAGGTTCTATATGCAAATTTAGAATTATTTTTATAATTAAAAAAATTGGATCTTATAATCATATATGCATAGCTATGATACCAAACGAAGAAGATAATTTTCAACCCATTAGATATGTGAAAAGCTATTGTTTAGTAATTTTGAATATTTGTTAAAAATTATATTATGTTTTACTGATTGAGAAAATTATATTAGGTTTTAGTTTTTTTTATTAATTTCATTGCATTTTTTTGTTATTTTTTATAAGAAAGATTATACTTACAACCTATTTTTTTTTACAACCTTTTACAACTATATTTTAACCGTTGATTTTCGTCAATCAATGATTATTATTTTCGCAAATCAAACTCATTAATTAATATTTAATTTGCAATGAATGATAACCGTTGATTGACGAAAATCAACTGTTCAGATATAGTTGTAAAATATTGTAAACAAAAATAGGTTGTATGTATAATATTTCCTTTTTGTATTGACTCTTATAATTTTGAATGTTAGTTAGAATTCATATAATTTTTTAAAATCTTATAAATTCATATTGTCCTTTCAAATGTTATAAATTATATTAAAATCATTTAAAATTCAATCTTATGAAATCTTAATTGTAAAAAAAGGCTTTTAAAAAAGTCTTTAAAGTCTCTCCAATTCTAAAATATCTTTTAATGTCTGTAGAATTTTTTATCTTAAAAAAGTTTTTTTTTATAATTAAAATAAACTTTTAAAATCTTAATCCAATACATCTCCCTACTTCTTACTTTCTTTAAAATGACAGATATTTCTTCCTTAATTATTTCACAAAACTCAATCGGTCGAAAATAAAATTCAGGTGAGAAATTTTTAAAAAAGAAACGCGTTTTTTCTGACACCAAAACCAACCTTTGAGGTTTTCTTTCCTCCTTTTCTTTTGTATTATTTCTGATCAGGTCCTCCTAAGCTCACCTTCAATTCGCAGAGTTAGGGTTTCGAAATCTGAGAAAATCGACCACAGATTTTCGAGAAGAAATGATTGTGTTGTAGGTTTAGGGTTTTCCCTTATCCTTCACCAGCTAATATTGAAAAAACTTTTTGGCGTGGGATTTCGATTCTTGTACATGCTATTGGAAGAAAATGTATAGCAATTTCAAGGAGCAAGCCATAGAGTACGTGAAGCAAGCCGTACAGGAAGACAATGCTGGGAACTATGCGAAAGCGTTACGTCTCTACACGAACGCTCTGGATTACTTCGAGATCCATTTGAAGTACGAGAAGAACCCTAAGATCAAAGAAGCCATCACTCAGAAATTCACCGAGTATCTGCGGCGGGCCGAGGAGATCCGGGCCCTCCCCGACGATGGAGGGCCCAGCCCGGCCTCCAACAGGGATGCCGCGGTGGCGACGCGGCCCAAGACGAAGCCCAAGGACGGGGAAGGGGGAGACGGGGAGGACCCGGAGCAGGCGAAGCTCAGGGCTGGGCTCAATTCGGCGATCATAAGGGAGAAACCCAATGTGAAGTGGAACGACGTCGCAGGGTTGGAGAGCGCCAAGCAGGCCTTGCAGGAGGCTGTGATTTTGCCTGTGAAGTTTCCTCAGTTCTTTACTGGTTGGTTAGCTTCTTCATCACTGCCAGTGCTAGTTGTAGTGAAATGATAATCATGGTTGTTTTTGTTGCCTTGTTAGAGGAATCCTTGCTTAAATGAAACTATGCATAATGAACTAGAAGCATTTTATCTATGTTTAGCAGCTTGCTTCTTATTGAGGGATAGGAATTTCTTTGTGCAAGTAGGTGCTTTTGACAGTTTGAAGCTGAAAAGTTTGTTTATTCACTTCATTCTTTTTAGTATGCAAAATGGGATAGGTTATTCTATTTGCTTTTTTTCATATCTACCTTGTCTACCAATTTTCAACATAGTTATATCAGAATCTCAAGATGAGAGGGAAATGATAAATGTTAGTTGAGATTGTGATCTAACTGTGTTGTAGAGTGGTACGCAAGGTAGATATGAAAAAAAGGTAAGTAAAATAACTTATCCCATGTAAAACCTTAATTTTCATAAGAAGGGACCTATAATTTGATCGAGACGTTATTTTATAGCTGAAGGGTCTGCTTGGTTGAGTTGAGCGTGTGTGGAAACTGGCAAGGGGAAAATAGAGGAAGGAGTGAATGATTTCAACAGAAGTTATGATGATGAGCGAAAACTGAGTTACATTTTATTTTCACCTTTCAATTTACTACATGTCTTCCATGCAGACTCTAAATTAGCATAGTTGAAAATTTCTTGTTATATCAATAGGATACAGTGTACATTCATTAAATTTTATTAATTTATGTAACATGGAACTTTGTTAAATGTATGGTCTCTTCAGGTAAAAGACGACCATGGAGAGCATTTTTGTTGTATGGACCACCTGGAACAGGGAAATCGTATTTAGCCAAGGCAGTTGCAACAGAAGCTGACTCCACATTTTTCAGGTAAATTCATTCTATTGTTTAAGCACAGAATAAGTTTATTTGGTTGAGAAACCTCCAGGTCTGGAATATACGTGATTACTGGGAAAATCCTGGGAATGAACTCATATTCATAAGTGAAAATATATGTTTGTCTCATTTTATGCATTGTATACCCTTTTATAGGCATTAAAACTGGAATTCCTAGTAAACAATCTTCTAGGACTTTCCCTATCCATTTAGTATCCCAATAGGATTCTAGTTCTACCATAACTGCATTAAGGTTATCTTATTAGCTAAATAAGATCCAAATTTCTAATGGAAATTACTCTAAAATTGACAATAACTGCAACATTATTATAATTGATTTCCATTGCTCTCCATCATTATCCAACCTTATGTTTGGATAAGATAAAAATGAGCGGAATTAAAATGAAAATAGTTTAGCTTTTTGTTTTTAAAAATAATGCTGAAAATTATAGAATTATGATATATGGCAGATTGATATTTGCCAATTGTGTTGTTTTTAGAAGATGATATATACATGATTATATTTCTTTTCAAATTCATCCTTCAATTTTCTCTGCCTTTTCTTGACAATAATTATGTTTCTATTGAGAATCAGATGTGTTTGATATTTATTAAAAAATGTCTTCTGTATTGTTATGAATGTAGGTCCATAAGTGGACATGTTCTTGCAAGCATTTTTAACTTTTGAATTCTTCACCAGTGTTTCCTCATCAGACCTTGTTTCAAAGTGGATGGGTGAAAGTGAAAAGCTGGTTTCAAGCCTTTTCCAAATGGCTCGAGAAAGTGCTCCTTCTATCATATTTGTTGATGAAATAGACTCGCTATGTGGTCAGCGTGGAGAAGGCAATGAGAGTGAAGCTTCAAGACGGATTAAAACAGAACTTCTGGTGCAGATGCAGGTAATAGTTTTATGGTGATGATATGTTGATAAGCATAATAATTAGTTTGTTAGTTTACATTTGAATTACATTATGCACAAGAAGAACTTGTTAGTAGCCTTAGTCCCAGTTATATAGTCATATATGTGGATCCTTCGATAAAATAGTTTCAAATCATGAAGAAAAGACAGAATCAAATTCTTAAGTTCTTTGATATAAACCCATTTAGGCACAAGCTTGTCTTGTGATTCACTTTTAAAAGTAGGTTTCCTTGGGTTCTGTTTATGCTGGGAGGTGTTGGATGGCTGGGTGCTTATTAATACATCTTGCATGTTTGAGTTTTTTGAGTTGGAGAAAAACAAGCTAAGCCTTCATTTTAAACAATTTTTGGCTAATTTTTTCTTGTTTCAGCATGTAAGACCATAGTAGTTGGATAGTAGAGCAAAGGTTAAGCTAATTCATGCAGGGCCCTGCTTCTTAGTAGTATTTTGGGTCTTCAAGTCTTGTTTGAGTGTGCAATAACAGCTACGTTTGAATTATCTTTAGTTTTATGCTTTCCTTTGATCAGAGTGTTTTCGTCACTGTTGCTGCTGTTGTTATTTTTTTTTTTTATAATATTAAAAAAAGCAATTCTAAGCCATTGTAGCTAATAATTATGTTTACTGTAGATTTGAAGTAGTCTCTTATAATGTACTCTGCATGTCCTGTTCTTATTCAATGAGATGTTCACAGAGAAAGTTGCATATTTTCAATTGTGCTTTATCTAGTATATACGTCTCAGAAAAGGAATGCTAGGTGTGTGTGGCAAACTGGTAATCACTGTGATGTTTATCCAGTCAACATCTTTGATTATTTTCAGTATGTATTTTCAACGAGATACTTATTCATTTTTATGAAACTGAACTACCAAAGAATGTTTTACTGGTCGTCAAACACTCAGAAGCACTTAAGCTTTCTTGTCTTTGTTCTTATCCTTGACCTGTGAAAATTTGTGAAGAAACATGGTTGATAACTTTTAGTAATGGGATTTTTTATTAATTTTCTTCCCATCTAAAAGTAATCTTGTTTTCTGTTTTGCTGTTTCATTTTAAGCTGAACCCGGCAGTTATTTTTTTATAAAATAATTCTTTTTTCATTATATTTTTCCCAAGTGCAAGCTATTGTCAAAATATAGCTTGTGTATCTTTTGTTTTTATACCTTTATTTTGATTCACTTTTTTGTTCTTAACATTAATGCAGTTTCCAACATTTTTGGTATATGTTCTATTTTCAGTTTCTCATTATTTGATGTAGTTTGTTGGTTTATCCACTTCACATTTTAGGGTGTAGGACACAATGATCAGAAAGTTCTCGTTCTTGCAGCAACAAATACACCCTATGCCTTGGACCAGGTAAGAAAAAAATCAATTCTGTTTATGCGATCCCATATAGAGTCATACAATGTTTTCACCAATCAATTTGTAATTGCAGGCAATAAGGCGTCGTTTTGATAAGCGCATATATATTCCACTACCTGATTTGAAGGCTCGCCAACACATGTTCAAGGCAAGGGCAATATGCATGATTATAAAATGATGGATTTTATTGGGCTATATAAACCTAGCAAATGGTTTTACCATGCTATTTTTCTGGCTTGATAAATTGAGCAGGTGCATCTAGGAGATACTCCCCATAACTTGGCTGAAAGTGATTTTGAATATTTGGCTAGCAGGACGGAGGGGTTTTCTGGTTCAGATATATCTGTCTGTGTAAGTCCTTCTATATGAAATAACCGGTTTCAATAATCTTTTACGTAGATGAATTTCAGGTAAAAGTTTTTTGGACCTCTTCTTCAGGTGAAGGATGTTTTATTTGAACCTATTCGCAAAACCCAAGATGCCATGTTTTTCTTCAAGAATCCTGAGGGTATGTGGATCCCATGTGGATCAAAGCAACAAGATGCATTACAAATCACAATGCAGGACCTTGCTGCAAAAGGACTTGCTTCTAAGGTATTCAAAATGATGTATATATATGGAAAAAACATTTCTCCGGCAACTTGAGATAAGTTTATCTTCGGCTACTCCAAAACTATGTCGTTTTGTTTATTTATTTCCTTATATTAATTGATTCATCTTTGAATGGTTATGCTTCTCTTTTTCTCTCTCTCTTATATGTAACTTTAATTGAAGCGGGGAAATGCTTACTGCTTAAAACTCATGCAGATACTTCCACCCCCTATTGCGAGAACAGATTTTGACAAGGTACTTGCCAGACAAAGGCCTACAGTAAGCAAAGCTGACCTTGAGGTTCATGAGAGATTCACGAAGGAGTTTGGAGAGGAGGGTTAACGCTGATGGAGTTTCACTTCAAAGATTCACACTGGTTTTAAATATATTCGTTATAATCTGTAATTTATTTAGCGGTTGGAACAAGTGAAATGCGTTTTTTTTTTTTTTTTTTAATTTTGTTTGGGGGGATTTAATTTTGTTTGGGGGGATGTGAAATCCTCTTTTGTACGGAGGTGGATTTATACAACTGGATACTCATTTTTTTTTTTGGGTACTCATACTCATTTTACTTTTCCTAAATTGTGTATAACGGGTTCTGATATATGATTAGAAAACAACTTGAGTGATGCTGGTTGCTTACGTTGTTCTGCTATGGAGGGTAGGTGTGGTGGGTGCTTTTCAATTTTCGAAATGGATGAAATATTAAGCTGCTATGCTGCACTAAGCTACTACTGTAAGATACACCAGATTAATTACGAAAGATGCCGATTAGGATATTCACTTTATCATAAAACCTGTTTCTAACTAAACTGTTTTACTAAATGAAATTGAATAATTTTTTATACAACCGAGAATTTACTCCTGAAAATGCATATAAATTGTATAGAGTTTATGTCTTAATCAATGCATATGGAGGTACTTCTCCTTTTCTTTTTTATTTTTAAAATCAATGGACGTCATCAGGATTTCCGTATAACCAATTCTCAATCAGCAAGAGGCAATCTTTGTATATTGCCTAATCACCGAAGTTATATTGATTCAGTGGCAGAAGTTTCAAACAAATTCTATCACCAGTTCATCAAAAATTGATTACTTCTCATCATGGAGTGAAGATTTTCTCTAGAATTCAACGTATCAATGTTGATAGCACTTCTCATTATGTTATTTATGTATCTGACAACTAAAATTGATTACTTCAATATTACAGAGTTTCTAAATTTAGAATTCAATAAGTTAATGAGCAAATAAAAGTTAAAATAAGGGAGGGAAAATGACCGGTAGGCAAGAAACATTTTAGCAAATACCTAAACTAATCATTACCTGCCTTGAACCAGTTCAGCAGCAAAACTGGCATGGACTTTCAGAATTCCTGGAATCAGCTAACAAATTTTAGCAATACTATCAACTTTTTTGCCATAGCGATATTAAATGCATATTTTCTGAGAGTTTCTGTTGGCAGATCATCCTTCCCAAGTTGAATAATATCTACAATGGTCTATCTCAGAGTGGAGAACCAATATCATCATACATTTAGGATTTCACTTCCCATGACACTCTTTACATAAAGCTTCCACAAGAATTTATGCTTTGTGGAAAAGCTTCATGGATCCTTTGGCAAACAAAAGCCTGATCCACAAAAGAATATTCAAAACAAATAAAGCATATTAGCCCCAAACATCACCAGTAGTCTCCACATGAACACAAACCACCTTTAAAATGATGAAACCGATTTGAATCTCTGACAACAATATATCTCTGTTCAATGAGTGATACTAACTTAATAAAGCTGTGACAGTCTCCACAGACCCTAAGATTCTTCACAACCTGGATGGGAATTTCAGGAAGTGTAGCTATTAACCCAAAGGCAATGGCCAGCCTTTCACTATGCTGAGAAAGAATAGTTTCTTTGTGTTCCTCTTCTATATCATGAAACACATAGTTTGTATCAGGCTGATAACCTGCATCCCTCAACCGGATATTTAACTCTGAAAGTTTTGAGTAAATATGGTTTGACAAAGGATGTGACAAATCACCAGCCAAGAATGAGTACGTCTTGTTTTTTACCTCAATCCAGCTATACCCAGGTTCTTTTTTCACTTTTCTCTTATCCATCAATTTTCTCACATTGACTCTCTCTTGCCAGTTTCCTGCTGCAGCATACATATTGGATAATAGGACATAACCAGCTGAGTCTTGTGGCTGAAGTGAAATAAGCTTTTCAGCAGCAAGTTTTCCAAGCTCTATATTGCTGTGCACTCGAGAAGCTGCCAAGAGAGTGCGCCAGACAGTTGCACCCGGGGGAAATGGCATGTCATTTATGATATCCATGGCTTTTCCTAGCATCCCCGCACGGCTATATAGATCAATCATGCAAGAGTAGTGCTCCATTGTAGGATTAATGTGATAATCATTGATCATGACATTAAAGTAATTCTGACCTTTGTCCACTAGGCCAGCATGAGTGCAGGCAGAAAAGACACCGATGAATGTCACAGCATCCACTTCCAAGTTTCGTTTTTGCATCTCCTCAAATACCTCTAATGCTTTCTTGGCCTGGCCATGCTGTGCATATCCAGAAATCATTGAGTTCCACGAAAACAAGTCCCTCTCCTTCTGCCTTTTGAAAACTTCATGTGCACTATCAATATTGCCTCTCTTTGCATACATGGTAACAAGAGCACTACTTACACATAAAGCATTATTTAATCTCATTTTAATTGCACAGGCATGGAATTGTTTTCCCTGTTCTACTCCCGCTGTTGGAGCAGCACAGGCATTAATGATGCTGGAAAAGGTAAACTCATTTGGTTTGACCCCCTCCCTTGACAATTGGAGGAAGACTTTAGAAGCTTCTTCAGTTTCTCCTGTTTGTGCATATCCCGCTAGCATTGCTGACCATGCTATTACATCCTTCGCTTCAATTAGCTCAAAAACTTTAACAGCATCATTAACATTTCCTATCTTAACATAAGCATCTAAAAGTGCAGTTCCTACTGAAGATGACTTCTCATAATTAGTTTTGATAACTTCTGCATGTATTTGAGAAACGAAAACAGCATGTTGCACAGTAAGGACGGTAGAATACGTGAAATGATTTGGTTTGACACCTTCCCTCCTCATTTGGTAAAACAAATTTACAGCCTGTTCAGTTCCACCACTCTGCAAGTATCCACTGATCATAGCAGTCCATGACACCACGTCTTCACCCCTGCACATCAATGAGAATATACTAAAGGCATCATCCATTTCCTTGCACTTACTCAATGCTACCATGAGTGCATTTGTGACACTTTGGTGAGTGGAAAACCCACTCTTCAGAGCCCTACAGTGCAGCAATCTTACTAACTCCAATTCCTTAAGGCTTGCACATGACTTGATAACAGTAGCAAATGTCATATGCGTAGGTCTAGCCCCTGCAAGTTGCATGTTATTAAACGTTTCAAAAGCTTCCAAATCTTGTCCGTTTTTCACATGCCCTGCGATCATACTATTCCAAGAAACTGAATCCTTGTACTCCATATAATCAAAAATAGCTCTTGCATCTCTTAACATCCCTGACTTTGAATACATACTAATTAGAGAATTGCACACAGGTGTTGCTGTCTCAAAACCGTGCTTTATAACCATGGCATGGATTGGAATTCCAATATCAACCGCACCCTCATTGGCCAAAGCTGCAATTATAGTAGAAACAGTATACTGGTTAGGCATGTACCCCTCAACTTGCATCTGACAAAACAATTCCCATGCATGATCATTAAACCCATGCCATGAATAACCCGCGAGCAAGGAAGTCCAAGACACCACATTTCTCTCACCCATTTCATCAAAAACTCTCCTCCCATCTCTAACAGCCTCAGTTTTCATATACATATCAACCAGAGAGGTTCCTACACTAACATGCTGCACAAGTCCAAACTTGACGCACTGACAATGCACTTCTCTACCCACCACCCCATCAAATGAACTAGCACAAACTTTCAAAACGCAGGACATGGTGGATTCATCAGGGGGTAAACCCGAACGACAAAGGGACATAAAAAGGTGTAGGGCTTCTTGGGTTTGGTCATTGCGAGAGTAACGGAAGAGAAACTGGTTATGTTCTTTGAGGCCTCTCAGAGGAGATTGGTCGAACAGCTGTTGTACAATGGAAGGATCACCGTCCCACAAAGGGGTACTTAAATTGAGGGCAACAGCATGGGATTGCAGCAGAGGATTAGTGAAACAGTGAAAATGGTAACGTCCAAGTCTGAGAATTGGGTTTCTTGAAGTGTTGTTGGTTGTGAGTGCCCTCAAAGAGAGACTCAGAGTCATGCTCGAGAAAGTGACGTTTGTTTCAAATATTTGGGGTGACAACGTACGCTAATAATGCCTATAATTTCGAGTGTTGGCGGCGGAACAACTCAACTGAACACTCCGTATCCATGCTTTTTGCGAGAGCTCTTTCGGTACCAACTACCTACGTCGTTTCAACCGGGACTACAGGGAAATATAAAAAAGACATAGATGTGCAATGTTACACCGACACGACAACGTTGATTCTAAACAAAAAAAATTGTTAAATTTTGAGAAGTTATGACACATTTTAATATTATATAATATTTTTAATTTATGTAATATATATTATATTTAAGATATCTTAAATGTTTATATTAAATTTAATAAAATAAGTATTAGAATAAATACACTTTATTCTAATAATGATAATCGTAATCTAATAGTTGAAATTCAAAATGCAATGCAACGTAACCTTTGAATATTTTTTGAGCTTTTACAATGAGTATTGGAGTGTCAGAAAGTGTCGGAGTGCCAAAAAATGTCAGACACGACACGTTAAAGATTTTGAAATGTCGGCGTTTTATATTAGATGAATGTCAGTTACATGACAAATTTGGTATCATGTAATACATATGGGACCACACTTTTTTTTTTATTTTTTTTGGAAAGATTCGTATTTTGTTGTGTTTATGACAGATTCATATTTTTCTAAATTTAAATGATATATATATTTATTTTAATTTGGGAAAAAATATGTATCGAATTCGATACTCTCCCTATATTAAAAAATTTCCGCTTCTGTCTATCAAAAAAAAAAAATTCCGCTTCTTGAACTTTTCTGATACTAGTATACTACCTATATCATTTCCCAAATTAGTAAACAGGACTTAAAAGGAAAATATACAAAAAGATATGAATTCAAATGATACGAAATTTTTCTGATTTGAGAAAAAGGGATCATTGCATTCGGTACTGCCCTTGTATTAAAAAAATTCCGCTTCGAGAGCTTTTTCAATATGTAGTACGTAAATAATTTCCTAAATTAATAAACAATCAAGACTTAAAAGAAAAATATATAAAAAGGCATGGATTCAAATAATATGATTTTTTTTTTTTTAGAAATATTACAATTGGTTCATTGCTTCGCAATTAATTCGATTCGAGGCGGATCCATGATTAAAGTTTTAAACTACTCCCAAAGGTGGTATTGGAGAGATTCGAACACATGCTCTCACCCCACCTGCTTAGCTTCCATGCATCAACTGAGCTACCACCGTTTGGTTAAAAATTTTCAGATTTGAGAAAAATGGAGTATCAAATTCGATACTCTTGTCTTGATGTGTTAAAAAAAATTCCGCTTCTAGGGCTTTTCGATATCACTTTAGTACCTACATAATTTCTCAAATTAGTAAATAATTAGGATCTAAAGAAAAATATACAAAAGGCATGGATTTAAATGATATATTATAATACATACATCGTTTTTCAAATTAGTAAACAATCAGGACTGGTTCTCGGATGTTTCCTCGTAGTTCACCCTCTCACAATTGTATATTATCATGTCATTAAAAAAAGGAAATCATTTTCTTATGTAATAGGAGATAGTTTTATCATGTTATGAGACATCGAAAATCGTGCTGTCCTTTTTATTTTTTATTTTTTTTAACAAGTGATGGACTTCATCACTTATTGTATCTATGACATAAGAGATGATATCTCATGTGACATGAGAAAAGAGAAACCCAAAAAAAATATAACCTTACATATAATTATTTTGAGAGTTAAACTTTTTATCAATATGACAAATATATAATTGAGTGATAATAGAAAAATAAATTATATTGAGTGTATACAAATTAAATCTTTATCTTTTAAAAAAATGACCTCACTTTTATGCGTAACTGTAAGGATTGGAATATGTGGTCACTTGTTGATTTAATAGTTTGATTATTTTTCAACCAAAGAGTATAATTTGGACGAAAAATAATTTTTTTTGACTTGTTTAAATTGAATAAAATACATTATTTTTTTGTTTTGTAATAATATCAAGTTGACTACTAATTCATTTCATAGAATATTTAAATCATTATTATCGAGAAACTTATTTTTGGCCAGATTCGTTGGTCATTATTATCATAAGTATGGTAGTAGTGCCAATAGATTAATAACTTGATTAGGAAAGGAAATTAAAAAACTACACTTGACTTTTTGGCCTTATTAAAGCCAAGTTGTAGTTATACTTATATGAAACCGAAATATCCAATATTCCAATGTATAGCTGTTTTTCTTTCTATTTGTTTCTTTTGGAAAAACAATGTTCTCTACTATCACTAATATTCTTGTACTCTTTTGCTTCTTACCCAGCGGCCTATGCACTATATCAAAACTCAAAAAGTAAGTTTTCATTCATAATTTCATATCCACCGTATCCATCCTTTTTTTTTTTTTTTTCAATCCATAATTTCTTTTTTAATCTCTGTTATTGCTTTTTTTTTTCTTTTTTTAATTTCTTAATTTTCTAGTCATTGACATTTAAGTTAGCTAGATTTGACCGTTGATAGGGAAGTTAGCCCCTCGATCTTCTCTTACTTTTTTTTTTTTCAAATAAAAAAAAAAAATCTTTCTTTCTTTTCTTCAGGGTTTTTCATTAATTTAGTTTATTTGCCCCTTTCAAGAAAATTGCTAAACCCTTGAGTATGCATGCCAAATTTCAGTGAATTATTACTACCAGGGAGTTTATATTCACAACGGATGCTTTCATATCCATATCAAACTTTAGAATTTGATATTAAATCTTAATTATTGATTTTTGTCAGTTGATGATTATAATTTTTATTAATCAAACTCATTAATTAATTATTATTTTCTAATAAATAATAACCGTTAATTGACAAAAATTATCAGTTAAGATTTAATAACAAATTTTAAAGTTTGACATGGGTATCAAATGATCATATCTTGTATTTATAATCTCCTATTGTTTACAACTTCTTACTATCATATTTGGGATAGGATATTGTTACTACCAAATAATATTACTATCATATTTTAACCGTTGATTTCTGCCAATTAAAAATTATCATTTACTTGTGAATTAATAATTATTTAATGAGGTTATTATTATTTGATAATAATAATATCCTATCCCAAATTTTAATGGTTGAATTCCAGTAATTTAATAATTTTAATTTATTAAATATTAATAATTAACTAATAAATATGATGCAATAAATTATAATTTTGATTGTAAGAGATTATAACCAACTGAGGTTGTAAATATAATATTCGTATGTTATTATTATTATTATTATTATTCTTTTTTTCTGATTCTGGTTTTCACAGTAATTCTGAAACAGCATTTGCGTAGGAATCTCGTAGGTTTTGAGCATAGTGGGTGAAGTTCTCAGCTCCTTCCACTGCACCCAAATTCAAACCGGGTTTTATTCTTTTGAAAGAAAAGTAAAGGAATTGAATTTGCAGTAAGCAGAGTGGAAAAAAAGACACTTTTTTTATTTTTTGTGTGTGAAAGAAGAGATTTTTTGGAAGATGATTGCCGAGAAACCTAGTTGGGTTAGGCATGAAGGCATGCAAATTTTCTCCATTGATGTTCAACCCGGCGGGGACAGGTTCGCTACTGGTGGTGGTGATCACAAGGTATGAAAATTTTCTTCATGTGTTTGAAATTCTCAATTTACGGATGATTTTGAATTTTGAGCCTTTAGTTATGTGGTTTCTAAGGACATAGCACCCCACTTTGATTATAATTCTTTGTAAACTTCAACAGCCCTGTAATTCTTTTATATGGGATTTGATTATCTGTTTTTTCCCCCACTTTTATTTTTTTGGATAGATAACAAAGGAACATTGCTTTCTTTATATTTTCTATTAATTGAAAATATTGATCACACTTTTTTTGAAGCATGTGAGTTGTTACTATTTTTCTTGATTCAATGTGTCCTTTACTTCATGCTTATTTATTTTCAGGGCCTAGAGTATCTTTTTGTGTTTCATATTTATAAGAATTGCTTCCGAACGAGCGTGTCATTTATTTTTCTGGATGCATAATTTAGCTCAAGATTTCTTGGTGCCTTCTGCTGAATTACTTTTTATATTAAAATAAAAAGAAATAATAAACATCTAACGTTAATAGTTAATACTGCCAGCTTAGTGTCAGCAAAAAACTTTGAAATATTTCTTGCTTCAAAATTTCTTGATTCTCTTGTTTTACTTTGTCTTCATAACTTTTCTGTGTACCTTACTAACGTTTTCCCACTGTATATGAGAAAACTAGCTGTGTACCAGTTACATGCCTTCAGTGTAGCATTTGATTCCAATATTGGATCATTATGTTCCAAATTTGTTTTTTTTTTTTGGCATTTGAGTTATTTTTCTTATAATGACATTCTCAACTATGTTTCATGCAGGTTCGCATATGGAATATGAAGTCTGTTAGTACGGACAGAGAAAATGATGCCTCTTCTCAAAGGCTTCTTGCAACCCTGCGGGATCACTTTGGGTCTGTCAATTGTGTTAGGTGGGCTAAGCATGGAAGGTATGTCGCATCAGGGTCCGATGATCAGGTGATATTGATTCATGAGAGAAAGCCTGGTTCAGGAACTACAGAATTTGGCAGTGGAGAGGCCCCGGATATTGAAAACTGGAAAGTTGCAATGACTTTGAGAGGACACACTGCAGATGTGGTAATGCAATTGATTTTACTTTTTCATCTTCTTTTCTTTTTCAAAAATACTTCCAACCAATTAATTTCATGCTGACATTTGCTTTTTGGAATTCAATGAACCAAATGTGTCATCTAAATGGGCCTCTAGCTGCTTATCTGAATGCTTTTACATTTTCAATTGATATCTATTTGTCCATGCTTAAAGTAGGTGGATCTTAATTGGTCTCCTGATGATTCCGCATTGGCTAGTGGGAGTTTGGACAACACTATCCATGTATGGAATATGAGTGATGGCATTTGCATTACTGTTCTAAGGGGCCATTCTAGCCTGGTTAAGGGGGTTGCTTGGGATCCTATTGGCTCATTTATAGCAAGTCAATCTGATGATAAAACTGTCATTTTTTGGCGAACTAGTGATTGGAGCCTTGCTCATAGGACAGATGGTCACTGGACAAAATCAGTAAGTTTCTTATTTTGAATTTTTTTCTGATCGAATAAAACTTTCTATTTCCTACTTATTGTGTCTTCCTTTCAGCTTGGATCAACCTTTTTCAGGCGGCTTGGGTGGTCTCCTTGTGGTCATTTTATCACCACTACTCATGGTTTCCAGAAGCCAAGGCATTCTGCCCCTGTGCTAGAGAGAGGGGAATGGTCCGCAACATTTGATTTCCTAGGACACAATGCTCCCATCATTGTAGTGAAATTCAACCATTCTATGTTCAGAAGGAATTCCTCTAATGCTCAGGAAGTGAAGTCTGAACCTGTTGGGTGGACCAATGGTGCTTCCAAGACTGGAAGCAAAGAGCCACAGCCTTACAATGTTATTGCCATTGGAAGTCAGGATCGGACTATAACAGTATGGACTACTGCAAGCCCCCGTCCTCTGTTTGTGGCTAAGCATTTTTTTGCTCAAAGTGTTGTGGACTTGTCCTGGTACTACTATTCATCTCTAGCTGCATTTGATATGTTATGTAAATGTTATTTTTAAATTAATATTTTGACTTTATTATATCTTTGAGTGATTCCTCTTTATTATTCTTTACTTTCCCTTTTGAAACAGGAGTCCTGATGGATATTCACTTTTTGCATGCTCCTTGGATGGATCTGTAGCTACATTTCATTTTGAGGTAAAAGAACTTGGTCAGAGATTAGGTGATTCTGAGCTAGATGAATTGAAGAGAAGTCGTTATGGCGATGAAAGAGGTCGTAAAGCAAACTTAGCTGAAAGTCCGGCACAGTTACTGCTAGAAGCAGCTTCTTCCAAGCAAACATCCAGCAAAAAAGTGGTTTCTAATGTCCAGCAAAACCAAACAATTGAAAAGGCTTATGTTGATACGGGAGTTGCTACAACAAATGCTGAGCCTCAAGTTGATGATGGTAAGAAGAGTGGAGGTCCAGTTGGTGATGGGTCAAACAGAGTTACAACCTCTGGCCGGATTTCTAGTCCTGTTAAGCAAAGAGAATATAGACGACCTGATGGTCGTAAAAGAATTATTCCAGAAGCAGTTGGATTGCCTGTTCAGCAGGAAAACATGTCTGGTGCAGTTCAGCAAGAACTTGATTTTCCTCTTGTGTCTTCTGATCACAGAAAGGGTACTGACAGAGCTGTTTCTAATGATGATGGCATAAGAGCAAATAGCCTGGGAGGAGCACTTGGCAGGAAATCAGATTTAAAAGAGCGTTCTGGGGTTACTGCTAGGGCCACAATTTCTGAGAGCCTAGTAATTGAGAAGGTTCCAGCTTGTGCTGGCGATGGAAGCATCAATGTTGAGCAGTTGGGCAATTTGATGACTTCTAGTTCTTTAGTTCCTTGTTGTGCTACACTTTCCATTAGGGTATTTGACAAAAAAGGTGGGGAAGATAATTCACCTGTTGTTTTGGAAGCACGCCCAAGAGAACATGCTGTAAATGACATTGTAGGGGTGGGAAATACAACCACGATGAAAGAAACAGAAATTATGTGCACAAGGGGGCGTCAGACACTTTGGTCTGATAGGATATCAGGAAAAGTCACTGTTTTAGCTGGCAATGCTAATTTCTGGGCAGTTGGGTGTGAAGATGGATGTCTTCAGGTAAATCACTTTTCAACATATATATATCTATATATATATATATACATAGTAAATCATTGCGGCTTATATTGTATAGTAAGTTGTGATAGTTGTACCTAACATCCTTTATACTAACTGCTCGTTTTCCTAACACTTTCATCATCATGTTTTAATATTATTTGAACTTATCTCTTCTATGCATGTTTTATGCCCTTTAATATCTTGGTAGCATCTCTTTTGCATTGATCAAATTCAAGTCCATACAAGTTGTTAATACATGCGTGCCCTGCATACATGTATCAGGCAGAAGCTCAAACATTGTATAACTAATAATTGATCAGGAAAGTTGCTTATACTTAAAATACCCCATAAATATGACACATTGAGGGTGAAATTGCAAACCACATCATACATGTTGTAAACCACTGCATGACGATGGTTATCTGTTCTGTTTGAATCTTCTACTGCTTATATCATCTTGGGTTGTGTTCTGTGCGTTTTCTCCCATTATCTTTTGGTATTCAGATTTTAGATAAAATATTATGTTTCAATTCTGATATGGGCTTCTCTACTCTAAGTGACTAATGACTAATCTTTTTTAATGTGTGGTACATAGTTAAAACTTTTTGTGCTTGTAAAACTATGGGCTTACTGTATAGTTGAATGAATGGGGAAGATGTAGATCTTATGCTTTGAAAATCTCTGTTTTTTGTCTTTTGCTTTCTTCTGAGAAGATTTACACAAAGTGTGGGAGACGAGCAATGCCTACCATGATGACGGGATCTGCAGCAACATTTGTAGATTGTGATGAGTGCTGGACATTGTTGCTGGTGACAAGAAGAGGATCCCTTTATTTATGGGATTTATTCAACCGAACCTGTCTCCTTCACGATTCATTGGCTTCTCTCGTTGCTTCAAGTCCTAACTCATCTGCTAAAGATTCAGGTACCAAATATTACCTACATTTGTTTGATATTGGAGATACGTGGTTTTTAACTATGGCCTTGAGCTTATTTTTTTTATCCCCCTATATGAGGGCAACTTGCCTTGGTTTTTTCAACAATTTTTGCCATTTTTGGTGGCTATTTTATTTTAATTTTACCATTTCTTTTCAGGAACTATTAAAGTTATATCTGCAAAGCTATCAAAATCTGGTTTACCTCTTATTGTGTTGGCCACCCGCCATGCTTTCCTATTTGATATGAGTGTCAAGTGTTGGCTCAGGGTTGCAGATGATTGCTTCCCTGCATCAAATTTTGCCAGCTCTTGGAGTTTGGGTTCAATTCAAAGTGGTGAGCTGGCAACTTTGCAGGTTGATCTTAGAAAATATTTGGCCCGGAAACCAGGTTGGACTAGGTGTGTATTGATTGGCATCTATTTTTTTTATAGTCTAAAGTTGGCCTTGGTCCTTGATTTGAATTGTTGTTGGATATTGAATGGATATGAAATATATATAAACAACCAGGCTTTATTTCACTCAGTGGGGTCATCCGATCAAACAATGTTATTGGATTCTCTAAACTGCCAAATTTCCTATAAAACCTTGATCAAGGCCTTTTTTTAGCAGTTTCTCGTAATTGTTTAACCCCTTAGACAATCTTTCAGTTGATCAACTTTTTTCTTATTGGGAGCCCCCTTTAGTCTTCTTCTCTCTCAACCTAACCACCTTAGGCAGGTTTTTGTCCTCTTCTCTTCAATAGGTGCTACTCCAACTTTTTGTTGGATGCTTTTGTTCCTAATCTCATCTTGTATAACATGTATGATCATAAAAAGGATATATGTCAAAGCATAAATAAGTTTGAAAATATCTACAATTATTTCTTTTATATTTATGTTTTTGACTTTTTGTTTAGGAGGAGGATGCAACATGCTTGTTATCTAGTATCTCATGTTTTGTAATTTTATTTTCTTTCCTAACCCCCTTTTTGTTCGATTTCTGATGTTTTAAAGGAACACTTTCTAAACATGAGTATCTTGATACAGAGTGACTGACGATGGAGTGCAGACACGTGCTCATTTGGAAGCTCAATTGGCTTCTTCCTTGGCTTTGGGATCCCCCAGTGAATATCGCCAATGCCTGTTGTCCTACTTACGCTTTCTTGCAAGGTGTTATTATTTTCTCTTTTTCTTTTAGTTATTCTCCCAATGCTATTTTAGCACCTTCTTGTTCATTCATGAAACATGCATGCTTCTATATGCATTTAGTTTCTATCAAAAGTGCTTCTGACGAGTGATGTATCGTTTCTTACACCCCCCATGCCACTCTTGCTCTTGCTGTCTGTGTCGCACCTATTCAGCTGTTTACACTTTAAACACTATTTTTTTGCTAATTTTTTTTGGATCGTACCCTTACTAAATTAATTTAATTTACATGATAACTATTCTTAAAATGGATAGAACTCAACTTCTTGTGATTAGTCTTCAAGATTATTATTTTTTAATTAGGAAGATGCCATATATATTTATTCAGAGAATGTAGTCATAAATCTTAGTTTTAGATACTTTGTAATTATGCATGCACATTCTATGGTCTTTGTGATTTTGGACTTGCAGACTAAACAAGGATTATAAAATGATTGCAGAGAAGCAGATGAATCTCGTTTACGAGAAGTCTGTGAGAGTTTTCTTGGACCTCCAACGGGGATGGCTGAGGAAGCATCTTCATGTTCAAATAACCTGGCATGGGATCCTTTTGTGCTTGTAAGACTTTTTTCTATCAATACATATATAATAAATTGGGATCTATTAATCTCATGTTACATAAGATAACAGAGATAAAATTGTGGGGTCCACTACTTTTTCAAAAAAAGAAAAAATAGTGGACTCCACTATTTTGTTTCTGTTGCATGAGATAATTATCTCATGTTGCATGAGATAATTATTTCCCTAATAAATTTATGTATTGCTTGAACCCGATTATTATTACTGTTTATTAAAAAATGAGTCAAGCTGAGAATGGTATAATGGCACAGGAGCAGACTTAAATATTTTCCAATATAAGAATAGATTATTACTGAAATTTATTATGATTAGAGGGCTAACAGAGAGAAAATGCATGAAAGAAAGATTTATTTGCTGATTATTTAGGTCCAACAATACTTCACAGATTCATTTATCCACAAGAAGATGCTGGAATTCTATTGACCAACACACCTTATATGATTGTCATACCACATTATCATTTCATCATCTCAAATTTTCCAGCTGGACCCTTGCAGGGAATGAGGAAACACAAGCTCCTGAGGGAAGATATTCTTCCTTCCATGGCATCAAACAGGAAAGTCCAGAGATTGCTTAATGAATTCATGGATCTCTTATCTGAATATGAGATTGCTGATGCTAATGAAGACCACAGAAATCCCATGTTACCAAAGTCATCTTCACTAGCAACCAATCCGATCGAGAGCCATTCAGTAGCAACAGATCACGTGGACAGTGTTACACCAAAATTGGACCATGCAGTCAGAGATGATCAGCACAATACCCAACTGGAAAAAGATCAAACAAATTTTCCTCTGGCACTCACAAATGAAGCTATTTCAGATACCCCTATGACTGATCAAGTTTGCCAGGATACACAACAACTAAAGGAAGAAGGTTCCTAGCTAGTGCATCTCATTATTGGAGGTAGGTAGTATCCTGATACGGAAAGAAGTGGGTCCCAATAGAGACCCAGGTTATTGGTTAATGGGTTCCTGACTCAGCAATTTTTTTTTAAAGTTTTCATGAGAAGATAAATTAGTACAGAAAGGGACTCTCGAATTTCCCTACCATTTCCATTGTATTTCAATTAGTTGTATAACGACATTGTAATAAATATGTAATCGTAGTAACCATAATTCATTTTTCAGAAATAAGAATGACTTTATTGGAAATTCTTTCTTCCACCATTATTCTTGATTTGTTCTTTTATTGAATTGTTGAAGGGAGCAAGGTTAAAATGGGGTTGAGCCAGTGATTGTCATGATTGACTATGGAGTGTCAAAACAATTTTATACGATCCCTGGAAGTGGTGAATCATTTGGAACTTGTAGTGACCGAGACTCTTGTGTATCACGTAGAAGTGGCCGATTAGGGGAGTCCTGCATTATTAAGAATAATAGTTTCCTTGAAGTTTGCGGTGAAGGATTTGCATGATCAAGGGCAAGGGTTCTTTCTAAGTTTTGAGAAGGAGGGCAGAGAAGAGGAAGGAAAAAAATTGGGAAGAATTAACAAGGCTGCTAGTAGAGTATGGGGATTTATTCCAAGAACTCAAATGGCTACCTACAAAGAGAGATCGGGATCACGCCATTACTCTTTAAGTCAGGTAGTCAAGTGCCTAATTTGCGGCCATACAGGTAACTAGTGGCGGACTCATGAAATTTTTTTTATGTCCGCACATTTAGTGGCGGGGGTTTGAGGCCAGCGCCCTAAAAAAAAAAGTTTAAATCAACGCTTGAACTCGCTCATAATCTAGTTGCTTCCATAACAAGCTGTAGGTAATAGTTTGACCAATTATTTCCCCCCTAAATCTTACCAATTCTCTAAAACAAATATGAGAATATACTCCAGTATATCCATACATTATCATTCTATTTTATAGTGGTGAATAAAAAAGTCAACACTACTTGTACAGAAGGCAAGCAAAATTACAATGAAAGCCTCGTCTCTAGATACTGACTTATTTGAGAATGTCAGACCTGTAATCAATCCTCTCTTTTTATAAAAATAAAAAAGGAAACAAAGAATGAAGAGAGCATGAGAGTGGGTACGTGACAGGGGAGGAAGAATAAGTTCTCTCTCTAATCAATTTGCGATGCTACGTTGTTTTAATCATCTTCGTACGTTTGCTAACTAATATAAGAATAAATATCATTTTTGGTCCCTAACAAAAAATTCGGTCCCCACTTTAATCCATTATAAAAAAAAAAAATTAGTCACCTGGTCCCTATGAAATTCAAAGTGGACCCATTTTGATCTTTTTAAGGGACTAATGTAGGTTTTTTTTTGAATTTGTGAGGGACCACGATTTTAACTAAATTGATCCACTTTAAATTTTTTAGGGACCTCGAGACTAATTTTTTTTGTAAGGGACTAAAATAGAGACCATATTTTTTGTTAGGGGCTTAAAAGGGTATTTACTCCTAATATATATATTGAACCAAGAGACAAATAAGGACCTGCAACCAAAAAAAAAAAACTGAAATAAAATTTTTATGTCTGCACTTGCGGGCTGGGTCTACCAGTGCAGGTACCCCTGCTATTAGAAATTAGAAAATAGCATTATTAGACATAACATGAACCTTTATTCAAGTCTCATATTCTAGTAAAGAAAAAAAGATGGAAGCCGGAGAGTTTATGTAGATTATATGGCTTTAAATAAAATTGCAGTCCCTGAAAAATTTCCTATACCCATAGTTGATGAGCTATTAGACGAGTTGGGAGGTTCCACGGTGTTTACAAAGTTGGATTTAAAATCTGGTTATCGCTAGATAAGGATGAGGGAGGAAGACATCCCAAAGACAACTGTTAGGACTCATCAAGGGCACTATGAATATCTTGTAATGCCCTTTGGGTTAATAAACACACCATCCACTTTTCAAGCTTTGATGAATAGGATTTTAAGACTGTTCTTTAAGAAATTTGCCCTTGTTTTCTTTGAAGACGTATTGATATACAACAAAAGACATCAGGAGCATTTAAGGCACCTAAGGCAAGTTCTAGAAGTGTTAAGGTAGAATCACTTGATAGTTAATAAAAAGTGTAATTTTGGCAAGGATCATGTAGAATACTTGGGACATATCATATATGCAGAAAGGGTTAGTGTTAACCCTAATAAAATAAAAGCTATGGTTGATTGAGCCATACCCAAAAACATTAAAGGCCTCAGAGGTTTCCTAGGGGTAACAAGGTACTATAGAAAGTTTGTGAGAGATTATGGCAAAATAGCCAAACACCTCACCGATTTACTTAAAAAAAGAAGGATTTAAATGGAATGACTCACCTGAGCAGGTCTTTAATGTACTTAAACAGAAAATGGGCACAATTTCGGTGTTAGCATTTCCAGATTTCTCTAAGGTTTTTACTGCAATAACTAATGGATTAGGCAAAAAGATAGGATTGTGTTAACTTAAGAAAATAAACCAATAGCATTTATAAGTCAGGCTTTTTCACATAGGGCCCTAGGGAAATCCGTATATAATAAAAAATGATGGAAATAGTATTCACAGTTAAAAAATGGAGACACTATTTGATGAGGTGTCATTTATTGTGAAATTTGATCAAAAAAGTTCGAGATTTCTGGCTGAAAACCAAGTGTTAGGGGAGTACCAGCAGAAATGGACCTCAAAATTATTAGGATATGATTTTGAAATCCAATACCGCTTCCCTGGTAAAGAGAATCAAATGGCAAATGCCCTTTCTCTTCAACTACAGATTGCTAGTGTGACTAAATTATAATTACCAGATTTAAAAAGAATTGGAAGCAAAAGAGCAGGTTAAAAGCCATTTCGTAGGACTTATTAATTAGTGATTCTTCTCACAAGGGATTCAAGGTGATAAGGGGAATGTTATACTATCTAGATAGATTGGTGTTACCTAGGAATTCAAGGTTTATTCCCTTATTGCTCAATGAATACCATGATTCTTGTATGGGGGCATTCTGGTTATTTTCGTATATACAAAAGACTAGCTGGGTTAGTGTATTGGGAATGGATGAAGAAACTAATTACAGGGGATAAGGCTATCTATGAGATATGTCAACAGAATAAGTCCCGATCCTTATCCCTTACTAGACTATTATAATCCTTGCCCATTCCAACCAAGGTTTGGTGGATTGCCCAAGGCTATGGGCTTTGACACTATATTTGTAGCAGTGGATTGTTTAACAAAATATGCTTATTTTCTTCCTATTAGACATCCTTATACTGCCAAGGATATTGCTGAAATATTTATTAAGGAAATAGTGAGTCTCTATGGTTTCCCATTAACTATTGTATTATGTAACATCCCGCAGTACTCATGTGAGTTATCATTGCCTATGATATGAAGCACAATTACAATCACAACAATTCAATTAAAATATGGCTAAACTTTTCATTTTTAAGCATTGCATATTCCATTAACAATTATTATCGTATTCAAATTAAACTAAAACCGTAATTGTAACACAGTGACATTGCATAATGATTATTTCTTGCTCAATCATATCACACTAGTTCTATTAGACACAACTGTGGGGGTTCCCTGTAATGTCCCACATCGGTTGGAGAGGGGAACGAAGCATGTCTTATAAGGGTGTGGATACCTCTTCTGGTGTGAGGCCTTTTGTGGGGTGTCCCAAGAAACAAAACCGTGAGCTCGACGGTGCTTGTGCGCGGGGCAAAGCGGACAATATCATGCTACAGGGTTTGGGGCTGTTACATTTGGTATCAGAGCCTGGCCCTGGACCGGTGTGTACAGCGGGGACGCTGTATTCCCAGTGGGGGAGGATGTAATGTCCCACATAGGTTGGAGAGGGGAACGAAGCATGTCTTATAAGGGTGTGGATACCTCTTCTAGTGTGAGGCCTTTTGTGGGGTGTCCCAAGAAACAAAACCGTGAGCTCGACGGTGCTTGTGCGCGTGGCAAAGCGGACAATATCATGCTACAGGGTTTGGGGCTGTTACATTCCCATACACCCCACATAACAATTCTCATTTTCCAGCAAACTGGGCAGCTCGCCGAGCACTTTGCTCAGCTCGCTATACTGCTCGCTTAAGCGAGTACTACAAGAAGCAAATTAAATCCCCATTCAGTAGCTACTTCCCAGGTGCTCAATTTCCTCACAACCTCCCTTGCTGGAGCGAGGCCAACACCGAGCTCGCTTCCTCACTAGCTTGCTCAAGCAAGCACATGAGCGAGGAATCCCCTGCTTTGAGTTAGCTTCGGTCTCCAATTTATTTAGCTCGATGGCTTCCTCGCTAAAGCGAGCTCTCCAGCGAGAAGAGCCTAGATTCAGCATCACCTATATGTTTCAAGGCTCAACTCTCACATGAGTGGCACACCAGTGGGTACCTAATAGACATGGAAAGACAACCCATAACCAACAAACTAGGGTGCTCTTACATCCACAAGTCTCATCAATTCAAGACATCTTCTTATCTTTACTTGATTTCCAAGTTATATCCCCTTAACTTTGCATTCTTGACTCTATGACATTCATCCATATTTCATATACAATGTCAATAAGGTATGTAAACAATAAACCACAAACATGCAAAATAGGCATCCATGCCCTTCCATCATACATGTATATAATCCATGATTACACAATATCCAATTACATCAAATGGCTCAATTACACATATTGGGACTTAGCTACACAAAATACTATGATCAAACTCTTGGCCTCATCCAACAACATTAGGATACCAAAGGAGAGTGATCATAGTCTCAGTCCGCCGTGATATATTAAATGAGTTACACAATGTAAATTCTGTACATGTTCATCTAACACATACATATGATGCTCCCAAAATATATCAAAATATGGCATCATTATGCAATCTATTGTGGCCTCCTGCCAATAGATGCTCCAACACCATCAGTACCTGAAAGGGAGTCCCCACAACACGGGGTAAGATAAAAATCTCGGTAAATTAGGGGTCCTTGAAGGACTTCTCCACCCCAAAGTTCACTTCGGGCAACAAGTAATAAACAACATAATCATGAATGTATGTATGCATGTAAAATGTGCAAATTAACTGTCTAATATTCCTGCTAGTGCTTCTCACCGTCCTCGGAATACAAATGACAGTGTCCTAGCTATCCCTCGTGGTAAACATACCGTAAACGGGACGCTTAAGACAA